TGGTCGGACTCCCTGACTATTCAAGGTCTTTTGGGAGGAGCCGGGTTTTCGGGCCACACAGATCTTAGGATTAAGAGTGGATTCTTGGGACTCTGCCTCTAATTAAATACTTGGGCGTTGGATAATGGATTGTTATGAGGTCTGTCGATAACTCCAAGGGATTGCAACATACTGAACCCTAGGTTTGGGCAGGTTAGGCTTAGAGTTGGTCATGGAGCAGTCATCATAGTCGCCTCGAGTGACTGACATGGTGATTGCTTTTGGCTCGATTCTAAAATATAGACTTAGGTAAGATCTAAACTCAACGACTTAGGGCAAACCTAGTCTGACACTAGAGGCAAAAACCTTAGCTAAGACCTAGGCTAAGACTAGACTGGAACCTGGACTTACTAGACTCAATGGATTTTGGTTAAGACCTTGAACTAGGGTAAGCCTAGTCTAGCTTTAGAGGCAACTCCTAAGCTTAGACCTATGCTAGAACCTAGACTAGATGGTGCACGAGTCTCGGTTTGGAGGGGTAAGCAACCCTAATGTATTTTTTTTTCATGAAACACAGTTAAACTAAGCATGGTGAAAGCAGGGAAAATATGATGTCAGTCAAAATTAACAAACTAAATTAAAATAAAAAGGGCAGAACAAAAACATATCTATCTGAAGTAAAATATTTTTTTTATATTTTTAAAATTTTTATTTTAGGTCAAAAATTGGTCAACAGGAAGCCAAAAATCCTTGGAATGGTATTGTGGGGTCCTAGAATTTTTATTGGACACTTGCAGTTGGGCAACCAGGTGGTGTTGCCCTTGCGGGGTGGGTGACATGGCTAGGTCGCCCAAAACAATTATTATTATTATTCATTTTTTTTATATTTTTATCTTGTTAATATTAATGAAATAAGACTACTTTAAACTTGGAAGAAGTAGGAAATAAAAATATTTATAATGAAATAAATTAAAATAGAAAATCCTAGATTGACCTGAAAAATATTTTTTTTGTATTTTTAAAAATTTTATTTTGATCTGAATGCTTTTGGGAAGTCACAAAAGAGTCTCTAGAACAGATCCACAAAGTTCCAGAGGTTTTTAAGACCTTTGAATTTGGGCGACACTGGAGTGTCGCCCAGAAAAAGCAGGGTTTCGAAGCATCGAAACCCTAGATTCTGGTCACAGCCAACTTTTTGGACCTTTTGTGACTGAAAATAGTGAATAAAAATCAAATTTTGAAGCTTGGATCATGCTTGAAATAGCTCCACGGTGGGCGTCAAACTGTTTACGATGAAAATTTGACAAATCTTCCGATGAAGATCTTTCGAATTTTAACACCTTAAACTAATTAAAAAGATGTAAATAAAGTGGTAGAAAAAGTGGGACAGATCGAATTAAGATTTGAGGCCAGATTTGCTCAGAAACGAGCAGATCTACTCTTAGATATGTGGCAGAGCCAGCATGATCCAGAGTATTAAAATACGATTTTTAAGACAAATTAATGTATTAAAAATAAATAACTGAAGCAAAACAGTAAAAAGAAGAAGAAAGAGAGATGAAGAATTAATACCAATCGGGGCCGGATGGCCTATGATTCCCGAGCCTTTGAGGACTCGCTCGTATCAGAACCGGTCCCCTTTGCCTCTTTGATTTCAGATGTTGACCAACAAATCTCTGGTGTATCTATGCTTGTTGTGCCCTTATTCTAGTTTTGATATGGGGTTTTTATGCCCTAGGTCTAAGTTTTCTCAATCTTGGGGGTTAGGACATCATGAGGCTTTCTATCTTCTCTAAGGTTTTCAATCTTGAGATTTTTCTAAAGCTGTCTATCTTTTTCAGGGTTTGGAGGAGAATTTGCTTAGTTTTATAAGGGTTTTATGATTTCCTGAGGTTGAATATAAATTTTGAGATTTTTTCTAATTTTTTGGGTTTTTTTCTTAAATTTTTAGAAATTTTCTAGGGTATTTCCTATTTTTTATTTTTTGGGTAATTTTCCCAATTTCAAGAATTACAAGGTTTTTTGGTCTCTTTTTCTCTCTCCTTTTTTGGGTTAGGGAGAGGGGGTATTTATAAGATTCAATTAGTGATTTTTCTTAAATTGTTTGGAGTTTTTTTAGATTTATCTTGAAGCTTTAGCATATCTAATTAAAGAAAACATGTTTACTGCATCATAAAATATATTAACTGAATCATAAATGCCGCGGCTGCGTCTGGGCCTTTCGAGTCTGTTACAGCTCGGCCCACGGCCCAACAGTTGGGTCTCACAGGGACTAAATTGTTATTTATTATATCTTTTTATCCATAGGTCCGATTTAGGCGATTCTTGAACCGTTGGAAAGCTCTTAAGCTTTATTTTAAATTGGGATAGGATTTGGGCAGTTTTGGAGTAATTAAATTGGGTCTACTAGGATGATGAGATCTTAAGGGTTTAAAAAACCATAGAATTTGCCAGATTTAAAATGGAGTGTCTATAAGAACGAGTGAGAATTATCCTAACACATAACAAAATATTGATAAATAAGAAAAACAATGAATTTCATTGCAAACTTCTTACATGGCCAATCTTGATGGACCATTATCTGTCATTGTTGGTGGTCAATATTCAGTGGAGACAGACTCAATAAGTCTGTTTGATACGTGCTCTAGTCGGGAACTGCTATCGAAATAAAATTTGAAGAAAAATTGAGAATTATCCTAACCCATAACAAAATATTGATAAATAAAAAAATAATAAATTTCATTGCATACTTCTTACATGGCCAATCTTGATGGACCATTATCGGGCACCGTTGGTGGTCAATATTCAGTGGAGTCGGACTCAATAGGTTTGTTTGATACGTGCTTTGGTTGGGAACTGCTATCGAAATAAAATTTGAAGGACAATTGAGAATTATCCTAACCCATAACAAAAGATTGTTAAATAAAAAAATAATGAATTTCATTACAAACTTATTATATGGTCAATCTTGATGGCCATTACCGAGCACTGTTGGTGGTCGATATTCAGTGGCCACAAGCAGTGACAAAATCCTTCGCCAAGGACGTGGAAGTCATCCTAGCGGATCAAAAGGTCAGTCGGCAAGGCGTCCTAGCGTACATGAAATATTTGGTGAAGTGGAAAGGACTACCAGAGAGCTAGGCTAGTTGGGAACCAACAGACACTCTATGGCAATTCGAAGACCACATTCGGCAATTCATCGATGCAGCGTGACGAGGGCGTCTACGCAATCAGGTGGGGAAGAGTTGTTACAGGCCCATAAACTAGGCCCAAAACCAAGCCCACTTGTATTGTATATAGCTTGTACATAACTAGAGTAGTTATGAAAACTGTATAAAGATGCCTAGAATATTCTTTAGGTTAGGAGATGGGAGAATTATCTAGAAGGTCTAGAAGTTTCCCCAACTGTTGGATGGATGACACATGGCTCAATCATGACCCTTGATGCCTAGCCTTGAGCTTATAAATAGAGGAGACTCCCTCACTTGGAGGGCATCCTCCAACATTCCAATCTTCTCTTCTCTTGTAAGCTTCTCCTTGAGCAATAGAAAGTTCTCTTTGCCTTTAAGTGTGGTGTGCTCTCTTTCCTCTCTTTCTAGCATTCTCACTAAGTGTTGGGCAAGTAGGCTGATTTGGCGTAACATGCTCGGTTGCTTAGAGCTTCAAGTCTTGCTTTCGCGTAAGGTGCCTCTCTTGCTTAGAGCTTCAAATCCGGCTTTCGCTTCAAGCTGTTTCTTAAAGCTTCAGCCTCGAGCTTTGCCTTCGAGTTCTTGCGCCAGTTCAAGTGAAGAAGAAGCTACTCGACTAAGCTCCATGAAAGATATGTTAGGGCATAGAGCTAGTCACAGATAAGATATGTAGGGATGCATAGTGATCCACCAGCCCACATATCACTCAAATCCATACCACCCAGCATCCGCTGGTTCGGATAGGGGAGCAGCAGCTGGCATCGATCAAATACCACCATCTATAGTCACTCCTTGCCTCGTGCCATTCACCAGGGATGGGACAAGCGGAGCTAGCTAGGGCCCTGAATGAAAGCTTTGATTCGTAGATGGGATATAGAATGAAATCAGGTAAGGCATCTCGAGCGAGGAAGCGATAGCTGGCTCGACCAACCCTTGATCCTAACCCTCGGAAGCACTATGTACAGAGTTTGTAACAACAATAGGGACACGCCCTCCAGGTTGAGAACCACCACACTACCTAGATAACCTAAACCTTTCTACATAAATGAATGCACACTCACTACTCCCTATAGTTATCTATCTATCTATCCAGATATATACGAGATCTCCTACCTATCAGTCACCGACTTGATACATAAGGGAACAACCCACCACGACATCAAGGATCAATCTTATATGCGTTTTGTAGCATGGCACCGGTAGCCAATGAATGCGTGGACCCATAGCTCCATTTCAAAGTACCATCATTATGACCTTAGCTATTCTCAGCAGGGGAAATAACTACTTCTAGCCTGAAGAGTCATACATGAAGGAGTTGGCTTCTTCGTTACCTCAGGTTGGGATCTTCCCCCGATAGAATAGATGGCTCCCAATCATAAGCCACAATTTTCTCATGACTTGCATCAAACATATTCTGGTTGGCCGGCCCTGTTTCGCTACAAGTTTCAATCTTGGCAAAGAAGTCTCATTTACCACCAACACCAAATTAGATTGAAGACGACTCTTCCTTGCTAGTCGAAGAGGCAGTTGATGTCAATCTCGCGAGGACAGCCCCAAGATGACTCAGCTAAGGGCTGCAATCTTCAGACGAGAAACAACTCTTACCTCTCTTCTGGCTAAATACAAAAACTTTGACTTTCCGAATAGATGTGATTGGGCTACCAAAGATTGAATTCTGTGTCTTGCGACAAAGTTCACCCCCCAAAGAGATATGAGAGGAGTTGAACCTAGCTTTTCAATCCTTTGCTTTCAACCTTAGATTTTTTTTCGATAAGTCAGTGGGGGAGAAGGCCCCCTACCCGATTTTCATTAATAATCAAAGGCAAATACAACTCATAATTTTATAGCCCTAGAATAGGGAAGTTGTGCCACATCAAGAAGTAAAGCAAGAGAAAGAAAATCCAGCGGTCTAGAACGCCAAACAGTGGCATTTGAGAAAGTTGTGGTTTTCTTGGCAAGTAAACCAACCACTATGTTGGCCTCACGATAAATGTGGGTAAGGGACCAAACATGATCAGAGAGCTTATATCGGCAGTTAGCAGCAACAATACTTAGCTCCCATGGAGCTTTGCATCGATCATGGATTGCATTATCTAACACTAAGGAGTCGCTCTCGATCTGCAAGGGGAAACATTTGAGCTGGATGGCCAGGTCAACGCCAGCTTGCAAGGCTAGAAACTCTGCATAGTTATTTGATGTTATACCAAGGGGATTGCCAAATGCTGCAATGAAGGATCCATCATCACTTCTAATTACACGTCCACTACTTGCAAGCCCAGGGTTTTGAAGTGAAGCACCATCAAATGATTTGGACTAGGAAAATACCATGCAATCGTACTCAATAGGTCTGTTTGGTACATACATAGCGATGGGAGAAGACATTTCCATCATATTTGCAATGTTGTCATCATCATCAATACGTATCATATTATTGTTACTTGATAACCCTGAGTCAATATACCTAATAATCATAGTACTCGAGGCATAATTTGATACTTTTGACAAGTGATTCTTTACTTGGTCAAATGCTGAGATCCCCCTAAAAAATATAACCTTCATGTCCTCACCGTCACAAAAAATACGTCCATCATTAGATTTTCTCTTGAAAAAAATACTAAAATGTAAAATGATTTTCACTCTGTTGTCACCCATTATTATTGTTTACAAGCTCAATGGATGAGAGAGAGATGAGGCTAAGGAAGATGAGCAATGGATGAGAGAGAGATGAGGCTAAGGAAGATGAGCAATGGATGAGAGAGAGAGAGAGGAGGTTAAGGAAGATGATGAAAGAGGAGTTTATAACAAATAAATCGTGGCAATAGGGTTTTATGATAGAAATCGACTTAAAAAAGTACGAGAGATAATTACAATAGTTCGAGTATCATAATAAACATTCGAGATATTACGGTATTAAAATTGCCATATAAAATGTCTATGAAATTGCGGTGTATGAAGTACTGTATAAAATGCCCTAAGTATTACGGTACTTAAAGTACCATATAAAATACCCTAAGTATTTTGGCTTTTGAGTATTTTAACTATAATTTTTATATTTTAAAATTTTTATGACTATTTTAACATTACATTAGTTTTTTATGACAATATTATATTTTTTAAATGTGATTAAGCATATATGAAATTTAATTCATTCTTTTATGAGAAACTTGAATATCTTTTATTTTTTAATTATAAAATTTGAATTATTAAAAATTGATATATATTGATCCCATCTCCTCTAACTTTTCCTTATTGTTTTTCATTTGCACTATGTTCCTCTTGATTATTCTATTTAAAATAATACTGAAAGTCTTTTGGTTGCATATGGTGTATTTTTATGACAAATATTATATCAGAATTATTTCTTCTGTTCATGCTTTTAAAATAAATTTTATACTTCTTAAGTTAATGTAATAGAAAAACACAACTTATTGAAAATGGCATCGCTCATTAATGAGCATGCATTTTTTATTAAGCATAATTTATCTCTCTCACATTCAAGTCATTATTTCTCATGTGCAACAAAATGCCTAAACCCAATAGAAAACGTACATATTTTTATTTATGATAATTTATCCATCTCACTCAAGTTACTATTTTCTATGTCTATTTTTAATGGGAAACATGTGGATTAAGAAAAGAAATGTGTTAATCTCACCTCTCACCTCTCACCCCTAAATCTCTCACTCACTCTTTCTTTCTTTCTTTATCTCTGGCAGTCTCTTTTTCCTTAAATCTCTTCCCCTTACCTTATTTTTGATCAGTATATATAAATTCTTATCACTCTTTGTTTTATAATGAAGTTAAGAGTAATGATCATATGAGACCCTCCCACACCCATGTGCATAGGATCTCAAAAGATCACCATTAAATTCAGCACAGATCTCTAAAAAAGTTATCACATGGGTGTGAGACTTGACTTTTCTAGAGATTTGTGCCAAATTTAATAGTGATCCTTTGGGGTCCTACGCACATGGTGGGAGGGTCTCATAGGATCATTACTCTAAAGTTAATGCTTCTTGAGTATGCCTTAAGGGACTAATATATTAGATATAGATATTAATATGATCTAATGTCTTAAACTAATTTATTAAGTAAGACCTTGCATAAATTTATTTATTAATTTTATTTATTTAATTTAAATTATTGATTTCAGTCATCTTCAATATTTTAATTGTATGTTAAATGGATATACGTTAATTAATAATATATTAAAAATAAAATTTATCATCACATTTATTATTAATTAATAAAATATTCAATTGTGAAGATAAATGCTTTATGTTTTATTGAAATTTTTTCAATGATAAATATAGTACATCGATTAATATTAAATATCACATTCAATGCACATGAACATTACTAGTTTTCAATAAAATATGATCTTAAAAATCATTGAATTTATCCTCACAATTGCATAACTTTATGAAATAATTATGATTTTTTAAAACCATGCAAGAAATAAGTAATTTAAAAATACTATTTGTGATAAAACAAGATTATAGTGAGACCAAAAAATATTAAATACTATTTTAAATAGTGGAATCAATATTGGCATAGGCAAATGAAAAATAGTGGGAGAAAGCTACTGGAGATGGAATCAAAATTCATAATTAAAAAAATAAAATTACTCAAGTATCTCCCAAAATAAGAATTAATTCTTATATATACTTCATCACATATTTTTTGCTAAAAATATAATATTATAGTTACAAAAGCAATTTAATGTTCAAATAGTAAAAAAAAATTTAAAATATAAAAATTATAATTAAAATACATATAAAAGGAAAAATTGAGATGAAAATAAATTGATACATATTTAATATAAGAATCAAGAAGGAAAAATAACAATTTTTCTTTAGTCAATGGGCCTAATAAGATAACATTATCTTATAAAATAAAAATAAAAACATTACTTCCATTAGATAGACCAAAAAAGACCAAATCCATTTGGAAATAGCAAGAAAAAGCTAGAAGAAAGAGTAACGTAAATAAATATGTTATATACAATTAAAATAAATATTAATAAAATGATTCAATAAAATAAATAATAATAATAATAACAATAAAGTTATAGTTTTTTTTTTATTGTTATTATTACCATCGTTGTTATGATTAGTATTATTACT